GGCACAAAGTATTGCTCAAGACAAAGATTATTTCCTTCTTGCCATTTGAAGGACAGTAATGGAAATACCATACATGAAACTGTATACATATACAAAGTATGTCAACAAAAGAAAATTATACATTAAATGAAATATCAGCCTATTATAAATAAATTACTAATATTTTTCAAAACATTTTTAAAAAACTTATCAAAAAATTCTTTCTCTGGACACATAAAAATTAAGTATCATTCATCAGTTCTTCAACATTATCTTAACAACATAAAGACATATAGAAAGAAATAAACACTTCATTTTAAGGAAATGTTCAATAACAAGCCTTCTAAATAGCTTTCAAATTCAAAGCTGTCAGTTTGCAGTTCTCAAACAGCAAAACTTTACACATTAACATGAATATATGTATGTGTCAGCAATGAAAGATTACATCAATGTTAATTTTGGCTTTGATATGTAATGTTCATGTATTGAAGATATACAGAAAACATAATCAAATATCCTGGACTGAAAAGCTAAATCAATAAAGCATATTTAAAAGTTTAAACTTGTAAATATGTTAACTTGTTTAAATGTGAACTCATTTAAAGCAAAAAATGATGAAGTATATAAACAAGTATTCAGAAGCATCTAACTGACCTTAGTTGTTTCCTTTACTGAGACTGGATAATTTCAAACATAAATCACTTATAATTTTTATCCTAACTTATATATTAAATTAAGAACAGCATAAAATAAAGCAAAAAAAATTTCTTGGCAGTGTGTAATCCTTCTTGAATCTACAGACAATAAAAGGCCCTTAACCTTTTGTTACACATTACGTAAGCAAATTTTCAATATTACAATTCTTGCAATATATTGCAAATTACACCTTCTGCACTATTTGTCAAACAATTATATACAAAGCATGCACCTTTTAAGAAATTATGTAATACTTAAAAGACTCCTAACCATTAAAATGAATTAAAAAAATTCTAAACTGAAAATTACGTATTTTGTTACTCTTTTTAATGTTGCATTTTTTTAAAAGTTTCTTTTCATATAAAAAATTAATAATAATAATAAATGACAGTTTGAATGGTAAGATGAATTTATACATGTATATTTTATTAAATTTGTAATGAACATAAGACATAATAAATTACACGATATGCTCTTAAACACATAATAAAATAAAGCACTTTTTCGGAGGGGGGGAAGGAGCTGTGAAGCATAAAATGGTGAAACCTAACAATATTACTATCTTCTTGTGCTAAATAAAAGGAACTTGATCACTGAAGATGACAGCAACAGTGAACCAACAATATAATAGTGGTGCGAAAATTGCTAACATGAATGCATTTGACAACAACAATAACTAAGTTTAATGTCAGTATTTATATGCAGAAATCAAGCATTATAAGAAATGAAAAAAATTAATAATAAAAAATGAAATGAATAATTATGAAATATAGTAAAATCTCATTTATTCCCACATTTCATGTAATAATAATGAAGTTACTATAGTTGTGCATGAAAGGGCATAACAAATTCTCCGTTTATATTCATTTTTAACCCTTTATGATAGCATGTTGCTAAATTGAAAACAGTCTAGAGATGGGTGTGTCAGATATACATCAATCCCATATGTCATTAGCAGCCAGGTGACGAATGGTGCATTGCTGCTTGCATTGATCTTCCACATGGGTGTATCATACATGCACTTTCAAACATACATGTTCTTTTAGAATTTTTTAAAATCACTAGATGGTGCTTCGTGTCCACTACAGTTAGCTTATTTGAACATATACGTAGTTGACCTTGCATCTATAAATTACTTTCTGATTCTGGTGATTCGTTTAGATGTATGAGCAGATGATACAAAGTAAAAGAACTCACCTGACAGGTGTTGAGGCTTCCCATGATATAAACACTGAACAGTTTCAAGTGCTTCAATATATTTCTTTTTTTCTATGGGAAGACTGGGAGTGAAGCTGTGGATTTTAAGGAATCCCATATGTATTCAGTCTGCATCTCCTTTAGACAACAAACATAGGTTTTTTGTACCGGTAAAGAGAGCTAATAGTGAAGTCTAAGAGAACTTGTAAATCGAAGAGAAAGAACTTTTTAACAGAAGATGAGTACATTCGAATTGTAAACGAGCCCATGACTGACTAATCTGACATCAAAGACTTTAGATTTAAATGAGGATAGTGAAATTTTTTCAGAGACTGAATTGGAATTTTGTTTTGCTTTCACCTCACAATCCAGCACACCATCATCTAAATGAATCAGAAAGTACACCACCAGTAGATAACTCATCATGATCTCAATCTGTTAAATAATTGAAGCTTTATGAATTTAAAGAAATTGCAGAAGTAATTCAAAGTTGTGTGAATGAAATTGATTTTTTCACCATTTTTTTATGATCTAATGAACATAATGGTTGAAGAAACTAATAATTTCTATACACAAAAGATGAGAGAAAATGCCACTCCATTCAAAATCAACATATTCTGTATGTTTGCCTAAATAAGGATATTATTCTGCTGGGAATAATAAAAAAGTTTGACCTGAAAATGTGTTTCATAACTAATGAAATGATAGCGACTAGATTATCACACACTACCTCCTTTCTGAATCATTTATGCTATAATATTTAATCATATACTTTAATATGTTTTACATATGTTTAGATATACATTTAAGTAAGTTTTTTACATTTCATCATGATGAGACAAATATATTTTTTTAAATTAAAGAAAATATCAAAATGATTGATAAAAAAACTTATAATAAATTTTGTTTAAAAGTTAGGCTTAGTGACGTGAAATACCCCATCTTGTGAGATAGTACTAAACAACACAACATCTTCAAGGTGAGTTGCGCTAAGCGGCATGCCATTGAGTAAGATGATTAACTGCTAATGCATATATGATACACTCGATATGAAGGGGTTAAAGTTTCTTGCAATGCATTTTATTTTCCTATTTTACTTTACTAAATTTCAAACTTCCCAGTGCAAACTAAATCAATTACAGCATTTTCATGGTTTAAAGAGCAAATGATGACCACAAAACCTGATCTATATCTCCAAAGGAAATTTCTATACTGATGAAACATGGTACGATATGTAATATTACTTTCAGATACAAATCTGAATGTAATTTCCCTGACATGTTCTCTCATTCCTACTATTTGTAAGAATGTTTGTTCTTACTACTATCTCATTCCTACTACTCTAAAGTAGTCTCATTACTATTTGTTTTACATTATCTCCAGATTTGAAAATTTTATTTTCATTAGCAGCTTGAAAAATAGTATCAGTATCATGTCAATGAAAGGGAAACAAAAAGGCAATTTCTCTAGAAATGCATTCTTCTAGAATGAGTTTGAATGGCAGGGTTTTAGTTTAAAGTCTTTTATGATGACAGGGAAAATATTTGCATGCATAGTTAAGCTGAAGGTATGGCAATCAATCAGAAAGAAGGAAGAAAAGATCACTGGATATTTAAGCAAAATTCCAGGAAGCACCGATTCCTTGAAACACTGCAAGAATCAGTTGTATGATCTAACTTAAAAAAGGGGGGAGGTTAAGTTTTTGAAGAAAGACAAACATTTATAAAGATGACAAATCCAATAATGGTACTTGTAACATTCTGTAAAATAAAGCATACTAAAGAAAAATTTTCCAAGGTTTGGTATTCAAGATAAGAAGGAAAAAATATCAAAAAATTACCATGTTTATTTTAAGGACATTGGGGGAAAAAAAAATTCAAATGAACTGTTTGAACTTCTCATTCTCAGTTTCATTTAATATGTAAATAACAGAATACTTTTCCAACTTTTCATTTTACCTCTTTGAAAAAACAAATTCCGAATTTGATGTTTTTAAAATGCAGTTCTGAAGATATCTATTAAATTGATTTTTCACTGAAAAAATTTGAAAAAAAAAAAAAAAAAAAAGGGGGGGGGTAAGGGAATGATTTGTTTCAGCTTTCTCAGTTCATCCAATATGTAAATATCAGAATAATTTTCTTTTTATTTATAGCTTTGAAAAAACATTTTCTGAATTTGATGTTTTTAAAATATCTATGAAATTGAGTTTTCACTGTATATACATATTTTTTAAAAAAATCAGCAGATATAAACTTTAATTTATTACCATTGCCATAACTTACAAAAAATCACATATTAAGCTTTTTATTAAATGCACACAATAGCATATATAGTAGCAAACATAAATACAGAACAGCATTTATGTTTATTTTATAGTGAATTTAACTGGTACTAATCTATACATTGTTAAGATTTTTTGTATTAAAAATTATAATAAATAAGTCAATTTGTAAAAAGGTTAAGGGCCATTACACTACTTCCTTCAGGTGAATTTTACATTACACATTTTAAAAGAATAGGTACTATTTTTTGCCCAGTACAGCACAGCTGCACTTTACCCGCACAACAACCACTATTCTTTTTCTTAACACATTACTAAGAAAAAAGGGGGCATGAGTGATGGCTGTAATTGGCACGTGATAACATTGCACGGCAATGAGAAGTTTCATATTTCATGTTAAATTCACTGGTAATAATGAATGAAACTGATAACTCTAATCAAAATTTTCTAAACTTCTACATAACAATAAGCTTACAATAATAAAGAAGTTAAACAAAAGGAAAAGGTCATTACACTTGCATATTATCCTGCAGTTCATTTCTTTAAAACACATAATTTAAAATACGTTAACATAGATGCAAAGAAATATCTTACAAAAAAATAAAATTCTTAAAAATGAGAGAGAGATGGGGGAATAGCAATCTGAAAATTTCTGATTGTGTGAAAGAAGAGAAACATCAAAATTTCTGAAACTTTAAAACAAATAAAATACTGAAATCTAATTTTCATATTTAATTCCAATTTAACAACTTAGTTAAACAGTTACCACATACTTACTAGTTTAAGAATTAATCCTTAGAAATAAAGTTTACAGAATAAAATCTACTGGAAGTGATCTGTTTAAATAATAAAAATAAAATAATAAGTGCAACATTATTCCATCATAAAGCAATTTCTAGTCAGACTTTTGCTCTTATTTAATAATAATAATAAAACTTAAAGCAACACATTTTTCTCTTGATGGTTTTCTACTATATGAGAATTGCAACAAATATTTCCTGAGAAATGGTTAAATGTTAATACTTTCTATCTTCCAGAAGATAAAATATGCATAATGATAGCAGTAGCATCTCTGAAATGCTAAGAAGTTTCCACTTCAGGAATACAATAAAATTATTATCGGCTGCATCCAAAAAGCAGTGCTAGTTCTTTAAATTATTAAAAATGTAGTGCCCTTAGAAGTTCAGATCAAATGAAGTGCAGATGCTTTTCAGATTACAAATAAACCTGTCCAATAATTTTGTGCTAATGATTGTACTAATAATAAATTTTGCAGTTAGATAAATTTTCCAGCACTGATACATTAAATTTTGTATTTCAGTTCAGAAACAGCTATTGTTAATGAATTTTGGAAATTAAGTACATCTCAAAGAGTAAAAAATATATAAAGTGATTAACATACACATAGACAAAAGCCAACTTTGAAGAATGCAAAACAGGGATGTTTTTGAAAAAACTGGACATCAGAACAACTCTCCAAACTGGCAAACATGATTTAAAACTAAAGGCATAATTCGGGTTATTAAACTAGTTATAATATGATTTTAACATGAAACATTATAAAATTTAAATTTACAATAAAAATTAAATATTAAACTATACTTTGAGGCTAAAATAATTTGATTTCGTAATTTTCTTTTCTATTCTTTTAAAATATTACACTGATGAAAATCCAAGCACAGAAGAAATTTTTTTTTATTCGAATGTTTGAAAACTTAACAAATTTCCCAATTTTAGCAAAATGGATGGTAGCTGTGTGCATACTTACGCACAGAGAGAATAAACATACTTAAAAATCATCATTTTAGTAAAAATTACTTACACCAACAGTTTCTCATATTTCTAAACATATTATTAAATTCCTTCTCTGAAAATATACTTAAATAATTCATTAAATGCATTCTGAGAGTTCAATGAACTGCTAAAAAGAAGAAATTTGAAATCGGCTTTACAGAAGCCAGAGAATATAAAGTTATTATTATTATTATTATTATTTATTTTTTTTATATCAGATCAATTAAAATATTCCCTATTAAAGATCCCAATTTCCAATAAGTTTAAACAGAAAATATAAAATTCAAGAGATTCTTAAGACCTTTTAAAGCACTAGATTAATGCTTACAAATGAAATGCAGGCATCTATGCAAGTAAATTAAGACTACCTTTTTTTTTAATAACAAAAACACAGATCTATATTTTGATCATTTGTATGGCAAATTTCACCAGTTTGAAATTACATAAAAATATAACAATGAAATCTAATAGCTATATACTTATTAAAAGAAGTACGTATCTGCTTTCAGCTCATTTAAATTTTAAGTAATAAACAAATAGTTTTAAATTTATTGAACTAAAACTGCATTCTTAAAACAATACCTAGCTGCTCATGAAAAAAATAAAAGATTGTCAGCTTTTTCCCTTAACATCACTCATGCAGTGAATTTAATTCAGTATTTCAATGAATTTGAAACCCAGACTATGAAAGGGAATGTCATTATAAACAGACAATAAAATTCTTATAAATGCCTTATGGACTTAAGAAAACACAGAACACAATTGAGCAGCAGCCCTCAACTCATTTTGTACCTGGACCAGATATACTTTTCTTACAGAACTATACTGTGATGAGTTGAGGACATACCCGGTTAAGTTCTCATCACTTTCTCGAAGTAAAGGCACCAATATTATCTACAAGGAGGTTTAGCCATTAATCTGACTCACAGTTTTGAAATCCTTCATCATTTGGATAAACTTTCCAAAACAATAACTTCATTGCAATTCAGACAAGCTCTCCATTTTTATGTTGACTTTCTAATTTTGAAAGAGTCTTTTTCACTCTGAGAGCTGTGAGTCGTGCTCCTGGATTTTGTTTCCAGCTTTCTTGCATGACTTTGCTGATTACTTCCATTGTCTAAAATAACAACAAAAAAGTATATATATATATATATATATATATATAGATTAGGGAATACTTGCCAGATACTTAGTAGCAGCATTTATAACAATGCATTCAATTATATCAATTTAGTTTAAGAATGAAGTGTTTAGAACATATTTGCTAAAGAGATGCTATAGATTTAGGTCACCACTTTACATGCGTATGGAAACAACATGCATACATATATCACTGAGTGACAAAGTCATGGTACCTCCTATATTTGTCGGTCTCCTTTGCCGCGAAGGCAGCAACTCGACGTGCAGGACTAAACAAGTTGCAGAATATGAGCATGCTGCTCTATAGCGTCTAATTGTGAAAGTGTTGACAGGCAGGGTTTTGGGAACGAACTGACCTCTCGATGATGTCCCATAATGTCAATGGATTCATGTCGGGCGGATCTAGGGGCAATCATTCGCTGGAATTGTCCAGAATGTTTTTCTAACCAATCGCGAAAAATGTGGCCCGGTGAATGGCGAATTGTATCATAAAAATCCCTCATGTTGAATGCCGAGAGCCGCTGCAGCCGATGTCGTTGTTGTTAAAGGCATCGAGTCGGTCTTCTGCGGCATAGACAAGGAAGACAAATTTCGCCGCATGTCCTACTGGACACGTCCACATTGATTTCTGCGGTTTTGACGCAGTGTGTAGTCTTGAACTGCAACTCTATGCGACGAAGCTGGTCTCGTCGTTAAGTGCAGTGTGGCCCACTGCCCGTCCATGGTGGGATGTTATGCCTGAAATTAGATATCTTGACCCGTGATCTCGGAAGTGAATTTATAATGATTCGAAATGGAATGACCCCGTGCGATAGCTTAACTACCATTCGAGTTCAAAGTCTGTTAATTCTCGTCGTGCGGCCATAATCACGTCAAAGCCTCTTCACATGAATAACTTGAACACAAATGAAAGCCCTGCCAAAGCACTTTGCATTTACACATTTTCTATGCGAAACTACTGCCATCTGTATATTTGCATATTGTATATTGCATGACTTTTGTCACTTCAGTGTATATATGTCTGTTCAAAATTATTTGTACCACCATTAGGGGCTTAATAGTGCTTAGTAGAGCTATAAACAAGACATTAAATACTAAAACGGGACCGTCCAGGCCCACAAACAGCAACCACACTGCTTTAAAATTACTTTAAAAAAAAACTACTACAGATCTTCTTCTCTAAAGAGTGGTGAAATCTACTAGCAACTCCGACAAATAACACTCAAATTACAAACTTTGTAATAAAAAATAAAATACATGTTATTTACATGTACAAAAGAATATATTAACAATATAAATATGAACATTTTAGTTTTAAATAAAAGACAGAATATCCTGAACTCATTCAATATACAATTCCATTTCGTTTACAGACACATATTTTATGAAATTTGACAATCTTAATTTAGACACTACATTTTTACATAAATCACTTAAGGTTAAATTTAACAATATTAGGGATAAATCTTTGTACAATACTTTTCATAGTGGAACACTTAAATAACAGGTGTCTAAATTAGCATTTCTTATACCATAAACAACAATCACAATTTTTAATCGAGAGCTTTTCATATTCACTATTGAATTTATTAGCTCTTTAATATAAAGATTTAAATGAGATATATTTTCCATATTTTGTTCACAAACTTGCCTAATAAAACTAATTCTGAATGGAAATCTAACCAATTCAAATTCAAACTATAAAATCGTTCACAAGGCTCCTCTCTAGGAGAGTTATGTAAATGATCGAGCTCATTATAGCGATGATCACTACATGAAATATCAATGGAAACAGACCAATTCAGAATCCAAATAAAGATTTCACAATGGTCAGATTTATCCAATTTTCAGTTCTGGCACATGAAAACTTAGCCGGGCTATTAAGATTAGTAAGTACATTCAAGTTATTTATCGAACAAAATTTAATAATGGCCTTGTGTCTGGGGTTTGATGAATTCTTGGCTTTAAAATACCCACAGATATTTCAGTCTTCATTCAAGTCAAGAATGCTATTGATGCCATGCAAATAATTGTTCAAGTCATCGCTTGGAGGACAATATACTGAGATAAGGACGGTGTTTTTATTATTAATTATCATTTTAATTGCAACAATATTCAAAGAGGCGTACAAAAGCATTGCTGGAGTTCTGTGAAACAGAACAATTGCTGCTTGAGGATAATTTTTATCATCACTGAAAATCCATAGTTTCATCAGGATTCCCCAAACGTTATTTATTATCCACAACATACAGTTCTTGTAGCAGGGCTATTTTATAGTGTCTTTCAATAGCTTTAACGTATAACTGATTTGTTGCAGCTACATATATATATATGTGCAATGATGTAGTTTTTATGGAAGATGAAACCAACACTATTTAATTATGGCCGAGAAAGCCACTGCTCAGATGATGACTGGTGTGAAAATCACAACATTAAAACATTTTTAATTCCACAATTATTCAGACATGCATTTTCTTAAAATTGGTACAACAATAGGGGTCCTAAACATGCCTCACAACTTCTATAGGGGCATTTTACATTTCAGATAATAATGAAAGAAGGTGAAGCAAGAGATATGGTCTATTCAAGCAACAGAGGGTTAGAAAAAAGCAATGCGCACTAACTTGGGTCATATTTGTAGTCATAAAGTGTTTGTGTTAATCCGAAGCATGGACAAAAGTTTACAGCAATATGCAGAAACCGCAGGGAAAGAGTGACATAACATGCGGCAGAATGGCGCAAAGCAAATATTTGAAGTGGAGATGTAATTAATTAAATTTTATGAATTTAAAGGCCTATTTCCAGTTTATTCTAATTAAGTTTAATAATTTTGTCTCATATTTTACATATAACACACACATGTATATATATCTGGTTGTAATGAAAATGCTGTGCCAAAAACCGGGGGGGGGGAGGGGGGAATACGAAAGCGGTACCTTTAAAGCGATTAGAAATCACTACCCAAATCTATGATTTTCTGCCAAAGGTTTGGTAGATTTTCAAGCCTTTGGCAAAGAAACTTGGTGGCTGCGAGTCCAAAAACAGATCAACCCCATTTTGGCCGTCCTGTTGAGGGTTTTACCTTTTGAAGAAATTCTTTGTGGTTAATAGCACGGCAATCCCACCACATACAAAGCATGATCTCTTTGTTATTCAAACTGCACTCTATGACGCTGTCGACAAGGTCACCAGGGGCAGAACAACCCCCTTTTCGGTCTGTGTTGTTGAAGTAAATCCAGTTTTCATCACAAGTTACATTAAAGTCCAGAATTTTGTCCTTGCGTTGATATTCAAGCAAATTAGTACAAGCCCGAACATGTCTGTCTTTATCTGCTCGAGCTCATGCAGCATCCAATGATAGAACTTGTATGTCAAGTTTATGCAATGCATAGCACGACAAATGGATATGACACTAGCATCTAACTCCTTAGCAAACTCTAGAGTGGTTGCATACTGACCTTCCAGAAGTTCTCACATGTGAGCCTCGTCAACATCAGTAAGCCAGCCAGAGCACTCTGCTTCTTGAATGTCATACTCCTTGTTTTTGGACTTTCGGTACCAAACATTCACAGTGTCATACATTAGTACCTAAAGCTATACACATGATTTTGTGACATTCTGTAGCTGACTTTTTGCAACAGAACTGGAAGTAAATGATGGTTCTAATCTAATCTGGTAGTGTGATAGTTCTAATTAAGATACCTTATACTTAATGATATTAAAGCAAGTCTCTTTCTTTCAAATGCCAAAAATTGTTTGACAAAATATGATTAAATAGGCTAACGCAAACTGTGCACACGATATTTGGGGTGGCGGGAAACTTTTGTTAAAACCCGATACATTTATAATAGTGCACTTTACTCACACAGCTTACTTAGATAATTCATTCACACAATGATGCCTGGTAGTACCAAGATTAATAATAAGCTGTAAGTTATGAAGCATTATAAATGTTATGGAAAATAAAATGAAAAAAGTTTCATCTCAAATGAAATGCTTGAAAAGTCTATAGTACATATCAATTAATTCAACTTTTACTTCAAATGACATGACTTTTCTCTGCCTTTCTAAATGATGGCAGTACAACTAGATGAAAATTATATGCAAACTGTGTTATTTAAGATTAGCAATAATGTAATAAGAATGATAAGAACTAACCCCCCCTCCAAAAAAAAAACAGATCTGCATTTACTTTATGATAATCAATAAAAAAATATATTAACATGTATTTATATTTTATATGGACATAACATACTTAATATTTTTAGACTTTTTGGACATTTGCAGACTATGTAATTTGTTTATAAGCTTTTTCCATTACATTTATCAGAAAGTAGAAACAGAATTTGCACATGAATGAAACCACACTGCATTTTGAACATAAGAATTTTTCTAAACTCCACTTACTTCATTATGACTCCAGTGTTTTGGTATGGAGGGTCTTCTCTGATCGATGCATACTACTTTCTTCATGTCTTCAAAACTGGGATTTGAAGGTACACACTCATAATATGGAAGCTGATAGTCTTCAACTATTCCTATAAAAATAATTTAATACAATATAAAAATTTATTTCGAATTATGCCAAAGAGAGAAAAACAAAGATTTAAAAAAATTGTATTACAAATTTTAACTTAAAGACAACAGAAATAAATATAAAAAAATTTAATTTCCCTAAGAAATCGTAATTTAAATAAAACATAGATTAAATTTGACAAATTATAAAACCATTTTCCATTTATAAGAGTTTAAATTTATTTCATACATATAATAATGTTAAGGAAAATATTTTCTATATTAATATCGATATCTTAAAAAGGGTCTTTAAAAATGCTACTATACAATTACCACTTTACGCTGTTCTGATTTTTAATTAATGACAGCCTTATTGGTATCTATATGGCGCTCGGTAAGTTCCGAAATCGGAAGAACTCTAGTTATCCCATCCTAAAACCTGAAATGCATGTAACTGCGCTAATACAAACTATCTCGTTCACCTGCTTCCGTGCAAACTTTGGAGGCATTATCATCTAGGGCGCTGAATTGGATCAAGAAAAACAACATTTTGTACTCTATCAGATGATATAGAGCCAATCACAAGCACCGTCGATCAGCTTTTCTACCTTTGCCAATCGATTATTGACGGCTTTCAAAACAAACCCCATAAAGAAAACCACCATGGATTCTTCTTGATCTTTCTGCTGCTTTCGACAGAGTCTGGAGAAGCAAGAAACTGATCAACCTTTTACACGATACAGGCATTACATGTTAATGCTCTAATCTGGATTAATGATTTTCTAAGGAAAAGAAGCTTTAAAGTCAGGGTTAATGGCAGTTTCTCCACCACTCACCATACCCGGGCGGGAGTTCCTCAGGGCTCCGTACTTAGCCCTCTTTCTTTTCTTTCCTATACATGAATACGATTGACCCCCCACATCAGTAAAAAAATCAAAGTTGCCTGTTATACCGATGATGTTGCAGTCTGGCACACCCACTCAAACTCGAAGTCTCACAAAAGGCTCTAAATATCTGTATGAAAGGCATTGAAATCTGGTCAAAAGATCTTAAAATTAATCCACATAAAACAAACTTTTGTGTCTTCTCAACAGATAGAAAAAATAGAAGCTCGTTTCGTCCTATTATAAAGCTATTAGGTTCTGAAATTCAAACAAATTTCTAACCCTCAAGTATCTTGGGACTGACTCTAGATGCAGAGTTGAGATTCTCTAAACACCTTGATCATGTTTCAATAAAGGCAATGAAAAAGCTAAACATCTTAAAAGACTTTGTGGTGCTTCTTGGGGATCAAGACCAAAAACCCTCAAGAATACTTACACTTCCATAGTCAGGCCTGTTCTCGAATACGCAGCACCCATATGGGCATCAGCAAGGCCACTGTTAATGAAAGAAGTCGCGTTCAATATAGGGTCTAAAATCACACGGAGCTGTTTCATCAAGAATACATCAGATTGAAAAGGAATGCGGCCTCGCCCCCTTGGAGAGCAGAAGAAAATTATAACAATTAAATTTACACAAAATACAAACCTGCTGAACATAATCTCAAGTAGAACTTAGGGCTGAGTGACAATGCAGGCTTAAGAGTCCTGACCCTCAAACCAAGATTTAGAAATGATATCAACCTCAAATATGAGACTCTCAAAATTTCAAAAGAGAGCCTTACAAATTCTGTGCCTTCTGCCCAAACAAAATTTAAATCTCTTCAGCCTTTACCAAGAAAGATCCACCGCAATAATCAAGAAAAGGGCATTACCATTGAGGAACTCGCAACCTTAAATCAAGATCTGACTAGCGCCTACAAGACGGCTTCCGCTCAATCTGAAAGGGAGGAGTGGGAGTCTTTGCATCGGACCAGCAGAGGCAGAAATGCCACATTATCCGTTGGAAATCGCCTCCAACATAATGCGAGCTCGTCGCACAAAAGTGCTCTGAAATTTCTCTCTCTAAAGAAGACCAGAGTTCCAAGGCATCATCATGTCTCTGATGCAGATGAGCATGCAAACGATCAGAAGGGCAATGTCAAAATCAGTCATCAGATCACTGAGTCACAAACAAATCTGCGCCCAAGATCCTGCATATACAATGGATACGGTCATGTAAATATTTTGGTAATGGAAGGCCAATGAGCTTGCAAAGCATCCGTGTCTCTCAGCATCTAACTGCCTAACCTCTTGATGCCATGCAGTTGCCACCAAAAATAATCGGTCAAGTTAAAGGAAACTCATCCGGAATTGAAACTTTGACGAGAGCCCATATCGACTATCATAACAGACTTAGACAAATCACTTAAAAGGATGAAGATTTTGCAGACGGACAGCGTAGTTACCCAACATTGTCCTCACTGCCCAGATGACACCCACTGTCTCGCCATCCATCTTTAGCTGCCCAGCAATCCAAGCCAGACTTTAATATCGCATTGAAGACCCAATGGACCTACTGTATATGATAGAGTGCGAGGTTGCAAAGCTCTTCGACATTGAAGCTATATAATTGCACTTTGTCATAGACACGACATCATCATCATCATCATTGGTATGTATATTTTGAGACTTTTTCAAAATTTTAACATTTTATAAGAAAAGCTACAAGACTTAACTAAACCATTTCAAAACCACTTATAATATTAATTCAGATTATCAGAAACAAATGAGGGGGAAAAAATCATCAAAAGATTCAGATTTCAGTTATAAGAATTTAAACACTTATAACTGTAGATGAAATTACTTCCAGCATAGCATTGTTTGAGAAAAGCACTTTAAATTTTTAAATAATTTTATGGAAGTTTTCTGAGAATTTTTCTTCTTAATTAAAATATTCTCTCATTTTAAAAAAGGGGAAATTTAAAATTATGCTTTTTAAGTCACTTTTCTAATAACTTTTTACTTACAGAAAAAACAATAATAAGATATGAATAAAATCTGCTTAAAAGACAAAAAATGTGAATGTCCTTGACTAATAACATTCATTCAGTAACTTATTATGAGCAACAGTTACAAGCTGCAGCACTACAAGAGACAATTAATTAAAACTATTCATTAATAGTATATGACTTCTGATACATTTAAATATTTTTAAATTGAAATGTTTATGTATTTCATCAATAATTATATAAATAAATAAAAGGAAAATAATCATAAATACCTTCAAGGAATTTCACAAATACAGATTAGCAGTCAAGTAACTATACTTTTTATATTACCATAATGGGATAAAGTCAGCAAACCAATACTGTTAGGAATAATCACATTCTAAAAGAGTATATATAACCTTGTGGCATAAGTGGTTAATAAGTCCAACTAAGCAGTTAAGAAGATTCAAGGTTTGAATTTAAATGAGGACAAATTTATCTTTTCATATTTCTGTGCTTTCAAAAAATCTAACAATCTCTGCAGTGGCGTCTCAATTTTGTGCTTCTCCTCAGCCAGATTTAAGTGGGAATGATCACATTCCCTGGTATGCAATCATGATGAGAGTAATTAGCATGTCCAGATAGCAAGTATAAGATCTGTAGTTTGAATCCCAGTGAGGGCATAGTTGATCTTTCATCTATATGTGTGCACATATGTAAGAATATATTTCATATACAAGAACTTATGGGGCTATTCCTAATCTGAATTTAGAAGTTTGTTTTCACATTTTATACTTTCATATATACACGTACTTACTACAAAGAACGTAAGTCATTAAAATACTTGCAACTAGCAGTATGAGTAGTTAACAGAACATGACTTCTTTATACTTGTAAAATACTAAATCAACTTAATATGTATAAAAGGAAAGCTACACACATGGCACACACATTTATATTTACCATTAATTATGCAGCACCTTGCAATTTCCCACAAAACTAGAGCAAATGAGTACATATCTGCCATGATGAAAGATTTAAACTGAGAGATGTCTTGTGTTTCATCCAAAACTTCTGGTGGCATATACCTTCTAGTCCCTACTCTTGTATTAGATGCTATATCCAATTCATTTGTATCACTACATTAAAAAAATAATATTAATTTAAAGAGACATAATATTGTTGTTAATAAATTACTTTAAAAACATTTTCCAGGTATAACTTAACATCTCATTTCTTTTGCTTCAAATCAAAATCTTTATTCCCCCCTACTATCAATTCTGAAATAAAGGAAAGCATCTCGGAAATGAAGGAATATAAAGTAAAAATTAAAGGAAATATGACTTCGTAAAGCTATCATCTGAAACTGAAAAACTATTCATTTCACAAAGCAACTCCCTATAAATGGAAAAATTTAGTTGACATATTGGCTAAGGTAAAGAATTGCAAAATTATGGCTATACAATTAATACTACAACAGCAATTAATAGCAAATTGCTTATGAATACATTTATTCACTTAGCAAAAATAAGGTATATTATTTTTAAATAATGAATTAAACCACATGACTTCATTACAACTTTACATATGAAATGCCATCTAGCTTAGATAAATTAATCTCATCTTACTTAACTTTAATTAGGCATGATAACAAGCTGTGTGGGGGAAAAGCTTCTTCATACATTTAATATGATGTAATACAACACTAATTCAAAAGTATAAAACTTAAAAGAAAAAGAGAACACAGCACTGCATAAAAACTAAAAAAACAAAGTCAACTGATGCTCTGCTTTAAATTATATTTAAGATAAAAGAATTTAAAAAACAAATTATTTACTTCTTGAAAGTATACATCCCTTTTATATATAAAAGTGATTCTTGCAAGTTGACAAATAAATTGTGAATGTGATAAATTTCAGTTATTAAGTTTCATGCATAATACTCACCTTTTATATTTAACAGCCAAGCCAAAATCTGCAATTGCGCATGTTCTATCCTTTTTTACCAGGATGTTTCGACTTTTTATATCTCTGTGAGCTATAGCTGGCTTTCCTAAAAACAAACAGAAAAATATATTATACAATTTTCAATTAATCTCACAGAGCAAGAATATTTATATGGTGAAAAAGTTATACAGATTAAAGAGAATAACATCTTGCTTAGTAATGCAGAATTTTATTGGGGATTTCCACTTTATTACTCCACTTTTTTTAACAGACTAACATTAATTACTTCACTGTCATAAAAAACTCCTCAAATATTTGTTTTCTTGTTTCTTCCTCCAAAAGTAATCTTTTTGCCTCTGAAACTGGCTCCACTTTATGACAGAAATGTTTTCTATCCCCATTTCACCAACTATTAAGGCTTATTTAGAAGTTTGTGGCAAATCAATTTGTCACACTCAAAGATATTTAATAGTGTCACCTACCCAAGAATATAAAACATAAGACCAGTCCATCTCTCTGAGGAGATATCTGCTGCTTTGACCCTTCTCTTCATCTGAACAAGAAGCTACACAATGTCACTGCACATTGATTCTTAACAGCAAGCATAGACATCAATGTAGTTTTAACGAGTTTTAAGTGAAAAGACATGCCTTTCAAACACATATATATTTTATATACAGTACAAAGTCTATAATCCGGACTCGTTGGGACTTTGGCGATTCCGGATTAGGGGTTTTTCTGGATTATAGATCATCAATTTAAGTCTGGTAAGATGGCATGCAAGAAATTATACAATTAAAAATATGAAACCGTAATTTATGAAATAAAGAGCAATTATGATCTAAAGGGTATCAAAATTTACAAAAAAAAAAAAAAAAAAAACTTAATATTTATTTGTTTACTTTATTAAACATTTCTTTCAACGCGCGCATGCGTAAAGCATACATTACGTATAGTCGAAATTAGAAAATTGCAACCAGAAAAACTATTTGATGTGTATTCATGATATTTAATGATAAGGAATTGATTTAAATCATATCAGACGAAGACATCGAGATAATACTACATTTAATAAGGAATTATCAGCTGAACAAACTAAAAACAGCTGCCCTGAAGATGAGGATAGTGCTAACAGATCAACTTCCAATTCCTTGCGCACGCTGCGAAGTGTATATGTACATACTCATTCTATTACCCGCCTTGGCGAGCACAGTGTTTTTATTCTTATACATTGGTAAATTGAGCATTTTTTTGTTTTGATTGATTGAATTATGTTGTTCTTATGTTCTGGTTAAGGTTTTTATGCCTTTAGTTAATATGAATGCAATAGTTGTAGAATTATCAACAATTTAAAAGTTGTTTAAGTGCCACTAAGCCTAATGAAACTGCCATTTGTTTACATTTGAAAATTCTTAGTAGAATAGTGAATTAACACGTTGAGTGCGGCGCCGAATTTGCTGTCCTTTTCGTTTCGTTTTTGTTTAGAATATTTCAATACATTTCATTAAAACTAAATTTGATCACATTTCATTGAGACTATATTTATTTTTTAACTTTAATACTGTCGGTCCCGTGGGATGCCGCCAGCCAAATGAAAATTCCGGTGCCGGTCCCTACACGGAAAGTTCACTGCCAGTCCCCAGGGACCGACGCCAGCCACACGAAACGTTCACTGATAAATGCTACCAAACTTTGAGATTAATCATTGGCTGCTGGTAAAATCAACAAATACCCTTCTTCCAAAAACATTTTATTTAAAATTGACCACATTTGCACTTGTTACAGGAATAACCCATTTTGCATAATATTTGCTGTTATACTTAGTTCTGGAATATACACTTTTTTGCAAAAAAATTTAAGCATCAAAAAAGGACTTTTGCAATTGTGACATAATTTGGCATGCAAAAACATCTTGATCGAACATGCATATGATTAAAGTTTCAAGGCAAATGAACAGGAATTGTGATCAAAGCGCGCACTCCTAATGCACAATTCACAAAGTATAAAACCAGTATCAGAGGCAGAAAATTTATCTTTTTTGTTGCTGCCATTGTAATTCCATAAAGCAACTTGACGCGAAAAACAAAGTTTAAGTACTAAGCTATAAAAAGCTTTAAAAAAAAAAAAAAAATAGCAGAAATAACTATCACACTAGTAACACCCTTAAGTTTATGTATTATGCAGACATGGATGACAAAAGTTTTAAACTTAACCAATTTATCAAAATATATAAAATAAATTCATAAATACAAGAAAGGAAGTTAATTGTAACAAAATCATTGAAAAAAAAATTTCACTTAAATTTCACTTATTCATTAATCCCCAAGGGTTTTCTTTAAGAATATTACACTATTAATAGTACAACTAACACATTACCCATTCCATGAATACTGGCATTCAAAAACTCGTGACAAACATATCACAGAAAAAAAAAAAAAAAAAAAAAAAAAAAAAAAAAAAAATGATTAACTTGAATTTTACTTGATTAAATAAGTCATGCTTTTAGGCTAAGAAGGCACCTGAAAAATTAGACCTTGAAAACACTTGTGTTTAAAAATGCCACCCACCACAGTTGCTCACGAGAAACAACAACTTGAAAAACATCACCGCTTTGCCGAATCCTTTAAAACAAACATGGCACAAAGTCACGGCACTGATGAGCCACTCAACTTGGAAGACATGCATCACAAGAATGTTTCCGAATGCGAACTTGAACAACACCCAAAGAAAATGGAAAAAAGAACAAAAAGCACAAAGTTAGAGTGATGCGAGATATTTACACACGTACTGTCTGCCTACGGGAAGAACAGCTCCCGCCAGTCGCTATAGCAACAAGGCTAGTATATTTCAGAGAGGGGCAAAGCAAGAGTTGCTTTATTGTTATTTTGTTTTTGGCAACTGTTGGCTGAGGGGAAAAGGTTTATCATTTGTCTTCAAGACACCCCTACGGAAAATGGGTCAAGGCTTGTTTCTACGGCAAAAGACAGCTGCAGACTAACTGGCAAGAGCTTTTCTTATGATAGACAGACTGTAGTAGATATGACGTCACAGTACAGCAGCCAATCAACTATCAGCACAACACTGCTTTCCAGATGACGTAATCTAGAGTTTCGGTTTTGCATATTAATAAGACTGGAACAGTCTGTTTGTAACATACACAGTGGCGGCGAATTCAAAGAGGAAAAAAAAATTGCTATATCCCTTAAAGTAATAAACTAAATTTCATGTATTGAGTAATTATACTTCATAATGCATTTAAATTAAAACTTCATGCAAAAGTTTGAATTATTTCAAGGAGGAGACATTATGCAAAAGAGGTTAAAATAAGCCATTTTTGCAACACAACTAAAGATGCCATTATAATGATATCGAAGACCTTACAGACAACTAAATGACTTTGAATGTGGCAGCATCATAGGGTTGTGAGAAGCTGGGTGGTCATACTGAGCAATAGGCCCCACCTGCAGCATACAGACACTGCTATGCAAAGATGCTGGCAGCAATGGTTGCTACAAGGAAATTGCGGACAAAATGAAGGCTCTGGAAGGCCGAGGATCACAAATGCGAGGCAAGATAGGATGATTGTTCGCCAGGCCCAAACCGCCCCAACAGTATCATTGTCCACTATTAAACGCACTACAGCCACGTCTATACCTTGTGTGGTACCGTCCATCATCTTACAGTGCTTGTCTGAGGCGGGGTTACGCTCACAGAGGCCTTTAAGATGTTTGCCTTTGACCCCACAACATAAGTGGAGTTGTCTGGAGTGATGTCGCAGCTGATCATCATGGCTGCCATCAGACTGACATCTTATAGTGTTCAGTGATTAATCCCACTTCACACTTGAAGCAGATGACCACCATGTTTGTGTCTGAAGAGGACGGAGCCAGCGGTCCCAATCAGCCTTTGTTTTACAAAGGCATATAGCCGTAACCCCTGGTGTGATGGTGTGGGTGTTATTTCTTATAATAGCAAGCCATCTTTAGTTACCTTCTATACATCTTTAACAGGTGAACGATCTGTTGCTACCATGCCGCGGCCGGTTACATTACCTTTCACGGCATGTCATCCTGGGGCCATTTTCCAATAAGATAATGCCAGGCCTCATATCTCTGGACTGTCTCTGTGTGGTTGATACTCTTCCTTGGCCAGCACGGTCACCAGACCTTTCACCAATCAAGTATGTCTGGGACATGGTCGGCCGCACCACAAAATATCGCAGATCTGGAGCGACGACTGATAAATGCCTGGCAGAATGTGTTACAGGATGACATTAGGAACCTCTACCACTCCTTGCCTCGACAAATTCAAGCATGCATTGCCGCCAGGAGCAATTCGACCAACTACTAATTTGAACACTCAATACCCATTGAGTGTGAGCTGTGAGCAGGTACTACGACCTTGATTTTTTAATTATTTTATTATCTGTGTATGAGCTATACACATATTCAATTTCATCAAAAACAACTATTTCCTTCATGGTGCTTTGATTTTTTTGTAAAAGAGTATATTAGTCACTGAGACAGTGTTACTCTAGTTACACTGTCTCAGTGACTAATATACTCTTTTACAAAAAAAATCAAAAAGTGTTACTTACTGTTATGTTAGTACTCATAAAAAGGTGTGAGTGATTAAAAAAAAAAAAAAATTGAAAACTGATAGCGAGGGGGATATTATATTGATTATAAAGTTCTTACCTTGTTTTCCTAAAACTTCAACATGTAAATGTGATAAGCCACATGAGGCTGAATGGGCTAGTTTTAACATAGCACGTATATCTAGCTTGCACACTTTTAAATAATCGTGCAAAGAGCCAAGCTCATGATAATCAGTAATCAGTAACATCTGAGTCCACGAACCTGTACCTCTAATATCAGCAGCAATGAATCCTGAAATATATGTTATTTTATACAGCTTAATAGATAAAAAAAAAAACAGATATATGAAAAAAATTGATTTTTCTGCATTAAAAGAAGAAAAAAACACATAATTATTTATATTACAAGATGCACTTTCTTTACATACAAAAACAGCAATTACTACACAAGTATGCTTAAATTACTAGAGAAATGATTTGAAAATTACTAGAGAATGATTTGAAGATTTAATGGAATATAATCAAATTTTTTGATGGAGGGTGGAGATAATCTCATAAATGACCATGAAGCAAATCACACAGAAACAGACCTAATGTATAAAGTGCACCCTACTCTTCTAAAATTTATGATAATTTATGCTTTCTACTTTATGCTATATTTTTTGGTTTTAATGAATATAAAAATGCAATAATAATCATTATGAATTTATGAAGTAGAGTTAAAGTACTGTTACAAAAACAAAATGATTTAAAACAACATACAATATTTAATGTAAAAACTGCAATTTGACTTGTAAACTTAAAAACTGAATGATTACTATTAAACTGAATTTGACATTTTGATAATTATCTCCAGCACTAAGTAAAATAAACATGATTTTCATACCTAAAATGTTTTCATGTCTAAGAAGGACAGTTTTATATATATCTGTTTCTCTAGACCAGCTAGCTTCCTCAGATGTAAAGAAAACTTTAACTGCAACACACTCATCACGTAAACGTGCCTTCCAGACTTCTCCAAAATGTCCTTTTCCAATACTTTCAACCATATCTATTTGCTTCCCAATTGTCCGTTGAACCTGAAGAGAAAAGGCCCCACAATTAGTAGCAATAATGAAAATTTTAGACAAAATAATTTTACCCATATAAAAAATTTATAACATACCAAGAAAATTCACATTAATGCAAAATAAATTATTCTATAATGTTAAGTGCTTGCAGTCAGTATATACTAATTTAAGGATAGTTGCATATGCATATTTAATTGAAAACTTACTAGAAAACTTCAAGTTTCTTAAATATTGTTAAGAAACTTGATATCAATTTAAATATTGGGTCACATAAAAAGTTTCTGTGCTTTTTTGCCACTAGATAGTATTGATGCCTATATATCCAGCAACACTCACCCAATTGTCTCAAACAAACATGTGCTTAAAAGGTGACATTCAGCTTCCACTGCTTGTGAAGATAGTTTTCTAATTTGTTGCTCGTGTAAAAATTTACATTGATTTGAAGCAAGAGAACAACTTCAGAGAGTCAAATATCTGAAGAAATATGCTATGCAATTTTTTTTTTACTATAACAAAGGTTGAAATTCTGTAAAAGAATGCTGTAAAAACATGCCAAAAAAATTGTGAAGTGTATGGTGAGAATGAGTGAAAAAAAGACCCAGGAGTGATTTGCTTGATTTCGTTCCAGAAATTTCGATCTCGACATTGGAAGGGAATTGTCCATTATGGGCTGCTGCAACCTGGTACAATAGCAATTTGACCCTGTACTGTGCAAAACTTGACTGTTTGAACAAAGCAGTCTAGAAAGGGCGACCAGAATAGGCCAACAGAAAGGGAGTTGTGTTCCATCATGACAATGAGCAACTACGCACATTTTTTATGACTCGGAACAAATTGAACTGAATATTTTATGACTCGGAACTTGGTTGGGAACTTTTGATGCACCCATTGTATAGCCTGGACTTTGCACCATCTGACTACCAATTGTTTCAATCTCTGCAAAACTCTCGATGGAAAAAATTTGGCTGACCGAAACGCCACTGAAAAATCCCTTGGCCAAGTTTTTCGACAATAAATCACAGAAATTCTACATCGATGGAATTATGAAGCTATCCGAAGAATGGCAAAAGGTCATAGATAATAATGGTCAATATGTACTTGATTAAAACTGATTTTCAATAAAGAAAATTTTTGTTCAAAAAATGTACCAAAAAAGCATGGAGACTTTTTATATGACCCAATATGATGAACCCACTTTCCATATGAGAATTTTATAACAATTTTTATTATAATTTTCTACCATTTTGCATGACACAAAGTAAAATATAAGAAAATATTAATCTCTGAAATTCTAAAAAATATTAAATTACCAATATTTTGCTCATAATCTGATACGCTACCATTTCCACAGTGCCACTTACGCGATAAATTACAGAACACCAGTTACATTATATACTTCAGTCTTTAGAAAATAAAAAGGCATAGCAGAAATGTAACTGATGATATTTTTCAATAGAACATAAGTATAGTAATCCATGTACTCAGACATAATAACGGATTGTCACAATTCAATAAAAATTTGCATTTACATATTTAAATTTAAAAATTCTAAAACAGCATCATTAATGATCAATTTCACAAAATGCTAAACAAAAACAATTAAAAAAACTGAAAACTGGGATTAAGATAAAAAAAGGAAGGAAGAAATGATTAAGATAAAAACTATTTTTTAATAATTTTATGAGCAAACAGCTTACCAACAGAGCCATTCCTGATCCACTTCCAGATGAATTTCCAGACTTGTCAATCAAATCACGCATTGAATCACCACAAATATAACTCTTACAATTCTCAACATCAATATAACTTCTACGACTCTCTTTCTGGTTTCGCAGTCTGTAAGAGGTATTCAAGTATGAAAAAAAAAAAAAAAAAAATATTCCATTAATATAAAGAATAGTAAAAAGTTTTATAAATTTCTAATTTGTAATACTCTTATTCTGTAGAAAAATATTCAGCGAGTGATAAAAGATCACAAAATGAATTTCAACCTTTCAGCATTATGCACTAATCACTGACAATTTAAGGTTTAGTGGGAGTACTTAAACCATGAATATTTAAAGCAACATTTCTATGTTTAAATACCATGCCGCACAATGAAATCAACCAAAAAATCATCAATTACAGTTCATATTCACAACTAAGTTCTATTATGAACATATAAACAAATATTAAAAAATTACAAAAAGTGTTCAATTATACATGATCAACCAAATGATAGATAAATAGAAAGGAGTATTCTATTAATAACAGAATTATCTTATACAGGCTAATTCCATATTATTCCTAAGTAATTATGATTAAACACTGTGCTAAATTTGCTCAGACCATGTTTTATCTTTTACTGCAGCTTGCATGATACATTAGAGTAGAATTTTGAAAATTCTTGACTGCCTAATCTACGACTACAGGGTAGTTGTAAAATAATGTAAGGTGTTTAGAAGCCCTCTAGCAAGTAAAACATAACCCAATTTGATGGGTATATAATGTGGAACATGGGAATTTATTAATAAAAAAAGTACTAAAAGCCGCCACCAGGGAAAATTCTGGCATTGCAAAAATTTATCAGTGTAAATAATGAATGATTAAATGCCAAACGACACAGCAAATAACAAATTTTATTAACAACAAATAATTGTTACTTACAAATTAGATTCAATATGACCACTATTGTGATGTCCCAAGAAGTACACACACTGAATGACAATTTCCATGGCAGCTTGTAACATATCAGAATTGATTTGTCTTACCTGTAACATTATTCAATCTTTCAAAGTTGCGATATCAGAGGCATGCCCTCGATATAAAATACCTTTCAGAAATCCCCACAATCAAAAGTCAAAAGGATTGAGATTGGCCAACCTCAGTGGCTATACCGTAGGGTATAAGTAACGATTCTGCTTTCAGAGAAATGTTGCAGAAACATACACACAGTCCAATATGGGGTGTGCACCATCCTGCATGAATATTGTCGAATTGAGACATCCTCATTGCTGCAGTTGTCGAAACATGAAGTTCTCTAGCATATCGGCATACCTTTCAGGAGTAAGGGTATATGTCACTCGTTCACTTTCATGATTTTCCT